CTTGAACTCTGGGCCTGGGCGCTGTCCCTCAGCTCTTCAGCTCAAGGCTAGCGCTCTACCACTTGAGCCACAGCGCCACTTCCAGTTTTCTAGTGGTGGATTTGAGATAAGTGTTTCACAGACTTTCCTGCCCAGGCTGCCTTTGAACCATGATCCTCAGATCTCAGCTTCCAGAGTAGCTTAGGATTACAGGCATGAGCCACTGGCACCCGGCTCATTTCATCTTATTTTCTTACCCCTTCAAAATCGCTTAAAATTATTTTGTTTGTTTTTTAATCTCTTAAGTAGTAGTTGTTTAACATACCACAACAGTGTGCTAAACATCTACAGTTCTGCCAGCCACTTCTAAATTGAAAATGCATGCCACCTCGCTAGATGAATGGCATCCTATTCTCACATAAGAAACTGAATCGGAGGGCTGGGAAGGTGGCTCAGTGGTAGAGTGCTTGCCTGGCATGCATGAGGCCCTGGGTTCAATTCCTCAGCACCACATAAGCAAAAAGAAGAAAAAAAAAAGAAAACTGAGTCCAAGAATAGGAAACTTGCCCAGGGTGGCACAGCTAGTTCATGACAACAGAACTGAGATGCAAACTACAGTCTAGATTTCCAGCCGCTCCAGACTTCATTCTTTCTATTATGCTATAATGTCTGCTTTATGTGGAATTCAAGAAGACAAATAAGTAGCCACCTTGTTTAAGAAAAAAAAAAAAAAGATCTAGGTGTCAGTGGCTCATGCCTGTAATCCTAGCTACTTAGGAGGCTGAGATCTGAGGATCACAGTTCAAAGCCAGCCTGGGCAGGAAAGTCCGGGAGACTTATCTCCAATAAACCACTGGAAGTGGCGCTGTGGCTCAAGTGGTAGAGTGCTAGCCTTGAGCTGAAGAGCTAAGGAACACTGTCCAGGCCCAGAGTTCAGGCCCCACAACCGACAAAAAAAAAATAAAGGAATCTTATTTTTTTTTAATTGGAGGAAAAGAGATAATAGTTTGAACTACCACTGAAACAGAATGAAACGAGAATATTTTGTATACCAAAGTATTATTTCATATACTTTGAATTACATGCCTTTATTTTATCCACAATTTTTTTTTTTTTTGGTCCGGTCGTGGGGCCTGTAACTCTGGGCCTGGGCGCTGTCCCTCAGCTCTTCAGCTCAAGGCTAGTGCTCTCCCACTTGAGCCACAGCATCACTTCTGGCTTTTTTCTTTTTGCTTATGTGGTGCTGAAGAATCGAACCCAGGGCCTCAGGCATGCAAGGCAAGCGCTCTACCACTGAGCCACCTTCCCAGCCCCATGCCTTTATTTTAAAGAGCAGATTCTAAATGCATGGCAAATACAAACATCTTTTGTTGGAGTCAGAATCAACTAGTTTGGATTAGGATTTTGGAAATCCCTTTAACAAGCATCCATAATTCTATGTGAGCCACAGACATTTAGTGTGCTATCTAGTTCCTTGGCTACTTTCCATAAATATTTGAAAGAGACCACTTAAGAGTGCTTCATATCATCCTGTCTTCTTTCAGAGGAAGAGGCCTTAATTCTCGTATTTACAGGATTTTGGCTACATCTTAGCTTCATAGTGTGAATCTGGTTTATATTTCCTGTTTATACATGTAGAAATTCAGTACTGACAATTATTTAGATTTGGGGGGAGAGAGAGTAAAATGGGAAAGAATGGAAATAACCTCCCAGAAAGTTTAGTTATTTACAAATAATTGTGAATTAGCCTAAAAAAATTTCCAGCACTTACAAGTATTCATTCCCTCTGTCTATTGCTTATTTAAACTTTTGGCATTAAATACAATAAGTTTCTCTATTTTATGCCTGTGTTTTAAGTATTCTGTTGCTTAGTTCTCTAACTAGACTCACTATTCCTCAGGACAAAATTCATCTGCTGTTAATCTAATTTAAAGACACAAGCCAATTTTTTGTACAGTTGTAATATTTTTAGCAGTTTTTCACAGTTGAGGGACAAATTGAATTAGACTTTTGTCTAGAAAATATGTAGTCTTGCTAAATTCTTGTGGCTACATTAGTTTTTAATGCCTATCAGCAAAGTAGAATGGCCTCAAAAAAATTAGTTCTTAATTCTTCGAAAAGAAAGTGAGTTCTTGGGCTTTAAATGAGTCTGCCCACACCACTAATTTTATTTGGAAATCAAGCACTTCAGCAGCTTCGCCAAAATAAGAGTAAAAAACTTAGTTTGGTTGAGTGTGTTATGTTTGCCTTTTAGTTCATTGTTAGTCCTTTTGTGTTTGTGTGTATCAATGTAGGTCTGTGTGTTTAGTAAATATGAATTCAATAGATGACTTCTTATTTTATGTTTTAGGCCAAGATTGACAGACACCTAAATATTCATGACTTGAGAATATTCTGCAGCTATAAATTTTGAACCTTTGATGCGCAAAGCAAGACCTGAAGCCCACTCCGGAAACTAAAGTGAGGCTTGCTAAACCTGTAGATTGCCTCACAGTTGTCTGTTTACAAAGTAAACTTAACATCCAGGGAATGAAGAGCAGCCACCAGCAGAAGACTTTGCAGAACTCTTTCATTTGATGTATTGTTAAGTGTTTTTTAAATGTGTGTATGAAATGTAGAAAGATGTAAAAGAAATAAATTAGGAGAGAATACTTTGTATTGTACTGCCATTCCTACTGTATTTTTATACTTTTTGGCAGCATTAAATATTTTTATTATATAGACTATGTTGGTTTGTGTGCATTATCTTAGGACAGATGTAATTCAAACACTGAATATTTTCTTACGGGTGAACTCTCAAGTTTTTATAACTAGCAATTGACATTTAAAGGAAATAGGTCCAAAACATAGGTCACTTGCTTTGGGATTTTTTTTTTTTTTTCAGAGATGTGAGGCTCACAGGGACTCTTCTGCCTTGGCTAGCTTTGAACTGTGATCCTCAGATCTCAGCCTCCTGAGTAGCTAGGCTAACAGGTATGAGCCCTTGACACCCAACACTGATCAAAGTTAGGTTTGAATAACAATTCAATGCAGGGTTTTTTATTTTTGTGTGTATGTGTGTGTGTGTTTGGTTTTTTATTTATTTGGTCAGTCATGGGGCTTGAACTCAGGGCCTGGATGTTGTTTCTAAGCTCTTTTTGCTCAAGGTTACTGCTCTACCATGTTAAGCCACAGTGCCACCTCTGGTTTTTGAATGGTTAGTTCAAGCAAAGAGTCCCACAGAGACTTTTCTGCCTGTGCTGGCTTTGAACCACGGTCCTCAGATCTCAGCCTCCTGAGTAACAAGGATTACGGGTATGAGCCACCAGCCCCCAGCTCAAAGCACTTTTCAAAATCAGAGTTGTTCCTGTGCTGGGTTGTTCAAACACTTCCTATTATAGGGAAAACACAGTTCTCCTCTCTTTTTCTTTTTCCCCAGTCCTAGGACTTGAACTCAGGGTCTGGGCTGTCTTGAACTTTTTATGTTCAAGGCTAGTGCTCTAGCACTTGAGCCACAGAACTACTGGCTTTTTGTTGTTGTTGTTGTTGTTAGTCATGGGGCTTGAACTCGGCCTGGACACTGTCCCTCAGCTCTTTAGCTCAAACCTAGTGCTCTACCACTTGAGCCACAGTGCCACTTCCGGTTTTCTGATGGTTAATTGGAGATGAATCTCACGGACTTTCCTGCCTCAGCTGGCTTTGAACCATGATCCTCAGATCTTGGCCTCCTGAGTAGCTAAGATTACGGGCATGAGCCAGTGGCACCTGGCTGCTTCTAGTTTTTGATGGTTAATTGGATGGAAGAGTCTTACAGACTTTCCTGCTAAGGCTGACTTTGAACCATGATCCTCACATCTCCATCTCCTGAATAGCATACAGGCATGAGCTACCGGCTCCTTCCAAACAAAGGCTTCTTAAGTGAACTTTTGGCTTATTCACCATCTAATTTGCCAATTGAAGGATGGGTTTTGGTTATATGTCAATCACTTGTCAGATTTAGTGTTTTTGGTGTCCAGAGACAAGTCTGTTTATCACGTGAACAGCAACATACAGGTGTAATAACTTGTCTTTTTTTTATGTAGCCAAGTTAAAATTCTTAAAATGCCATTTATAAATGACACCTATTTCATCTTCCCAGAATTTAGATTACTTACCTTTTGTTTCTTTTTGTCTTACATGCCAGGTTCTCGGGATCTAAATCTCTGCTATATCTTTTCCTAAAAGATAAGTGAGTTTAATCTACCATAAGTAATATAGCAAACCATCTCCTGAAAACAAAATTGGAAGAAGTCTTCAACTGCCTCCAGTTGATCACTTCCCGTATATTCTACCTCTCTGACGTTTAAGTGTTGCTCACAATGGCACCAAGGTCATTTTCGATTGGACTGTCTGCTCTTTTCTTACCCTGGGGCAAGTCAGAGCTCCTTTGAAATCTTCTCTTTACACTACCTACAACCTCTGGGTTTTCACCTTCCTCTTCCACCTGACTCTTGCATATTGGAGTGTCCAAGGACTCCATCTTTGGACCTTTGGGCTTAACCTGCTCACCTCAGATGATCTCATCTCTGAACTGACTCCTTGCCACTTCTTACACCCCATGCCAAATCTCCCTTCAGAGTTACAAAACTGCTCTAGTTGGTCATTGCATAAATTCCTTAACCTCCAAAACTAACCATGATCTCCCTCATCTCATCTTCTGTCTTTCATTTTCTTTTAGAATTCTGGAAACCCAAAATTGCTCCTTAGTCCCTTCACATCCAGTTTGGTCAGGAAATCTTGTTAATTCTGTACCATCTGTCACTGCCTCATTACTTGGATGGGTAACAGCCATGGGTTTTCCTTCTTGTATGGACTGCTCTTTAACCTAGTCTGCTCCACATAGCTTCCAAATTGCCCAGTGGCACCTTAAGTTAAATATCTATATATATATGTTGAAGGAGGGAGGTGATTACTAGGGTTTGAGCTCAGAGCCTTGCACTTTCGTGGCAGGTACTCTACAACTTGAGCCATGTCCCCTAGCCATTTTTGCTTTCATTACTTTTCAGAGAGTGTCGTGCATTTCCCCTGGGCCAGCCTGGACTGCAATTCTGGGCTTTATTATTTTTTTTAATTAATTGGGGGTGGGTGGATCATGGGGCTTGAACTCAGGGCCTGCTTGCTGCTCTTGAGCTTTTTCACTCAAGCCTAGTGCTCTACCACTTTCTTTGGTGTGTGGGGGGGGGTGTCCGGTCGTGGGGCCTGAACTCTGGGCCTGGGCGCTGTCCCTCAGCTCTTCAGCTCAAGGCTAGCGCTCTACCACTTGAGCCACAGTGTCATTTCTGGTTTTTTTCTTTCTTTTTTTTTTTTACTCTTAAAAATATTTACTTCAAAGGAAACATTAAAAACAAAGCCAAATTTGAAAGAGAAACAAATGAACAGAAACAGTGTTCATTATGCCATTGAACTGTGTCCAGTTTTGAATTTGTACCTGATAAACAAGAGGCACCTTACAGAACTTTAAATAAAATGACAGAGAATAAATGCATAACAGATGAAAGTATGTTGCCCTCTTCGAGACTTCAAGAGAAGAGCTTTGTGTTGCTAAACATGTGAAAAAAAAATCAGAAGAAAAATTACTAATTACTGATTATACATTTTAGTGCCTGTCCTTTGATGGCTATGTGAGCAAATAGACCCACAGTTTAGTCAACAGGTTAACTCTGAAATCATCCTCCAGAAAAATCATTTTCAGGCTTTCTTCAAGGAAGAGATGAAGCCAGTACAGCATGTTCAAATAGTTCTGCTTTGTCTCTATCATTATTTCTTTGAAATTCTTTCATTAATTCTGTGTAATGAGATGTTATCTGTTTTTCACATCATCCTGGTTATTAGTACTGTTCTCTCATCCTAAGGTAAGAGTTAAAAAAAAAATGCTCATGGCTACTTTGTAATCCATGAGCAACTTTCAAATTTCTCTCAAAAACTCATCATCTTTTCTTTTTCTGGTTTTTTTCTTGTTTGTTTATGTGGTGCTGAGGAATCGAACCCAGTGCCTCATGCATGCAAGGCAAGCGCTCTACCACTGAGCCACCTTCCCAGCCCTGCTCTACCACTTTGAGCCATGCCTCCACTTCCAGTTTTCTGGTGGTTAAATGGAGATAGGAGTATTACAGACATTCTACCCAGGCTGTCTTGGAACTGTGATCCTGAAATCTCAGCCTCCTGAGTAACTAGGATTACAAGCATGAGCACTAGCACCCATCTGTTGTCACTTTTTTTAAAAAATGTAGCTGAAATGGCAACACATGCCATGATGCTCAGCCTTTTATTGGTTGAAATGGGGTTCTGAACATTTTGCCCAGTCTGGCCGGAACCTCAATTCAATTTCCCCCTCCTGAGTCACTAAGACTACAGGTGTAAGTTGCTGCACTTGGTGAACCTCAAGCCAAGTTTGCCTTCGTTTTAAATGCCAGACCCTCACATGCTGTATCCACCTTCTCTTCCAGCTGTATCCCTGCCTGTCTTTCACAGCCCCAGCCATTTGGAATCATTACTCTCATTTGCTGAGAGAACATTGAATGTTTATATGCTAGGCCCTTGGTTAAGCAATGAACATGTAAATAAGAAAATACACAATTAAAACGAGCCCTCAGCCTTCTGCTACCCTGAGAGCAACCCACTGCCAGCCCAGTGTGATCACAGCTGAAAATCTGCCAGAAAATCAAGCTGAATAAAATCGCAAAACTGCATCTGCAGTGAGCGACTAAGCTCCCACCTTGTGAGCAGGAATAAAAGAGGTCAGGTGGTGGGGACCAAAGGTGGCTTACGTGTTGTGCAGATTAGTTAACAGGCATGCCTGAACCCTGGAAGCTCAGGCTCCATGGCCCTTTGGAAGAGTACTTGCTTCACCTTTGGCATCCCATGCTGCACTTTGAATGGGGGCCATATGTATCACAAGCTCCCTGAAAATCTTGACTTCAGTGATAAAGATCGTGAAGAGAATATCAAGTCATTACAGGAGTTGCGGAGCTGTTTGCAGACAGTGGCTGTGGGGTACTATGTATTGTTGTACCCCTTATACTTGATGGCAACAATACAAGACAAACTCCTGAGGTGCACGTTTACCTTTTTTTTAAAAGTGTTTGTTAATGCTTCTCTACTGAGAACAGGAGGATGCCAAAAGACTGTATAAAAAGCATAAACAAGGATTAGTTGTGAATATTAAAACTCAGAAGCGGACTGGGAAGGTGGCTCAGTGGTAGAGCCCTTGCCTTGCATGCATGAGGCCCTGGGTTCGATTCTTCAGCACCACATAAGCAAAAAGAAAAAATCCGGAAGTGGCGCTGTGGCTCAAGTGGTAGAACGCTAGCCTTGAGCTGAAGAGTTGAGGGACAATGCTCAGGCCCAGAGTTCAGGCCCCCGACCGGACCCAAAAACAAACAAAAAACTCAGAAGCCATTGAACTCATGCTAAAAGCAGACTCTTTGTAGAAAGGAGAAAGATATCATACCTCTGATTCCTCTTGTGAAGTGAAAGAACTATATGTTCCAGAAAATAAACTTGGCTTGGCAACATAAAAAAGCAGAGGCCAGGCACCGGTGGCTCACACCTGTAATCCTAGCTACTAAGAGGCTAAGATCTGAGGATCAGTTTGAAACCAGCCCAGGCAGGAAAGTCCATGAAACTCGGAGCCCGAAGTGGTACAGCAATATCCTTAAGCAAAAGAAGCTCAGGGACAGCCCAGGTCTGAGTTCAAGCCCCAGGA